CCCCCCCCCCCCCCCCCCCCACAGCACAAGGCAGGCCCGCCCATCCCGCCCCTCCTACCCGACATGGACAGGGTTCTCGGACTGGACCTGAAGACCAAGGTCAGGCCTCAGTCGAGGGAGCCTTCCAGCCCTTCATCTGCCCCGAGCCTGGGAACCTGGGGCATGCTGTGGCCACAATGGCTCTTTAAAGAAGGGGCTGTGACAGTCACTTTCTCTTCACAGGCCCTGGACACAGCAGTCTCAACTGTGACCTTCCAGTGATGGTGTGAAATCTGCTCTGATCCCAGGCTGCTCTTGACTCGAGCTCAGGAGCCCAGAGGCACGGCTTTCTCCTCAGAGCCACAGAAGTACAGGGAGGTCAGGGAGAGAGGTCTCCTGTCCTCCTTCAAGGGAGAGCCGCTCAGCAGGGGGCAGGGGCTCTCCGTGCGAGGACCCAATCGCCCACACAAGGTGTGGGTGTGCGCGCGCACATATGGCCATGCGAAGGTGCTCCAGTCACTCACAGCCGTGCCTGTGTCGGGATCCTGGCCGCCACTCCCAAGCACCCTCCCAAAGGCTACCCCCACCCACCAGACACATGCCCTGGGCAGGGGGCTCCTACTTGGGGAACCAAAGCTGAGGGCGTTGGGTGTGCTGAGGCTGCGGCCGCTGACCCTGGTGGTGAAGGGGACATCGTCCTCTCGAGGGTGGGGCTCATCCTCACTGGGCGAGGCCATCAGGCACACGTATGTGTGCAGCTGGACAAGGAGCCTGTGCTGCAGCATCCACACGACCATCTGAATGAGCTGGGTCTGCACAAGAGACAGTGTGAGGCCCAGGGTGGTAGGCGGGGTGGGGGGAAGGCTGGTCCCCCACCACCGCCCTGCTCCCCTCTGGGGAGGACCCGGGAGCCACAACCTGAGACACAGTCCCCACAAGTCATCCCAGACTAAGGGCCACATGAGCTTCAGGGGCCCAACCCTAGAATACAAGGCTCCACATCTCAGAAAGGGAGCTCTTGGCTGCTGGCCGGCCTGCAAGCCCAACTCCCTGCTCCAGGGAAGGCGGCAGGGCCACAAGGGCACTGGGCTTACACCTGCACTGCTCCCACCACACACCTGGGCTTTCGTGCCCAGAGCCGAGGAACAGGACTGATTACATGGAGGCCCTTGCTCTGCCTTGTCTTCCCCAGGCCACTCAGCCCTGTCGCCCAAGCCCCCCACCGCACAGAGCCGGGCCCACTGTGGCCTGGACGCCGTTCACAAAAAGGCTGCTGCTCTGAGAGCAGGAAGTCCTCTCCTTGGGTCAACCTGGAAGCCTGCCCAAGGACAGGGAGCTGTAATGCTGTGTGCAGTCCTAGGGCGTGGAGTCCACCCCTCCCTCGGGGGCTGCCACCTGACCGGGGGCAGTGAGGAGGCCTGTGCAGGCATGGCTTGCGCATGCCTGAGCAGGAAGGTGCATGTTCTCAGACACACACATCTGCCTGATCAGATCTGCGGGGGTCCCCTCCTGGGAGGGGATGGCTGCCCAGGCATGAAAGCAGGGATGTACCATGGGCGTGTTACGACCTGGTCAAACCAAATAAAATTGAAAAGGACTGTAATATAAGTAAACTTAAAATTAACAAGTAAAACAAAGAGGCTTCTTAAGACCTCAAGAACACACTCCAGGCCCCGAAACAGGAGGTGTGACAAGAAGGCGGACTCAGGGGCACCCGGTGGCTCAGGCAGTCAAGCATCCAACTTTGAGTCAGGTCGTGATCTCACGGTCTGCGAGTTCGAGCCCCGTATGGGGCTCTATGCTGACAGCTCGGGGCCTGAAGCCTGCTTCACATTCTGTGTTTCCCTCTCTCTCTGCCCCTCCCCTGCTCACACTTTTGTCTCCCTCCCTCTCTCTCTAAAACATAAATAAACAACAATAAAAAGAAGCAACAGAAGAAGGAGGAAGAGGAGGGGAGGGGGAGGAAGAAGAGGGGGAGGAGGAGAAGCAGCAGAAGCAGCAGAAGCAGGAGGAGAAGCAGAAGGAGAAGAAAAAGGCCTCAGCCCGGGACTCTGCAGGACCAAACCCAGCTCCATCTGGGCCCTTGACAAGGGACAGGGTGGCCCCCCCAGGCATGGCTTGGAAAATCCACCCACCATCCAGACCATTAGGAAGCTTCTGCTGGGTACAGATGCAAAGCGTGTCTTTTATTCGGCTGGCATAGCCTGGCACAGTTCCCGGAAACCAAAGGCACCATGAAAGGCGGCCTTTAGAACTGTCACACTCAGCATCTAAATGAACTCAAGAACCTGGATCTCCATCTCATTCACAACTTGAGAAGGGAAAGAATTTGCTTTTAAGGACTGGTTTAACAGATCTGTCGCTTATTAAAACAAATACTTTGGAAGACAAAGCCTTGAGAACACCCAGCCCCATCTCCAACACCTGCCCCATCTTGGCCCTGTGCTGGGTCCCTGCCCAGAATTCCAAAGCTCCAGGCATTCAGCGGAGAGGAGGCAGGCAGAGCCTTGTTCTTGGGTCTAGGCTGCACCTGGACCACAAGCCCCATACCTCCCTGGATGAGCCCTTGCCACACCCAACAATCCCACCTGGCCCTCACTTTGCCCCAGGCCCAGTGGGGCCTCTTCCAGGCCTGTCCTCTCCAAATCCTCTTGGATGAGGAGATTCTGGGGACCAATGAGCCCAGAACTTAGAGCTATATACCCTGTGGCCACCTGAACTGTGGAGGGGGAGAGAGCAGGAGGGCAGGGCCCAAGTTCAGTGAAAACAAAGCTGATTACACACACACACACACACACACACACACACACCCACCCACCCACCCACCCAAACCCAGGAAAGGTCACCACTCTCCTGCCATCTGGGCCTCTTAACTCTGTTCTACCCCAAGAACCACTCACCATAGCCAGGGTGGGCTCTACTGGAGTGGGGGTGGGGGGACTTGGGACTGCCCAAGTGTCTGCAGGTGGCCTGGCTGGGGAGCCAGCTTTTGATCGCCTTGGCACATGTGCCACCTACTCCCCAAAGGAAGCCCCCTCCTCCCCAAAACCAAGGCTAAGGGTGCAGCACTGAGGGCTCTGGGATGAGAAACTGACACCAGAGGAGTGGTTCCTGGGCTCCCCAAGACTCCTGTGACTTACCTCCTGCACCGGGGGGGCGAGGGGGTTTCTGAATTCTGACAAGGAGACGGGCAAGGAGAACTTAGCAAGGACAGATGGCAGGTCGTGAGCTGGAAACTGACGGGAGAACTGCTCAGCCAGTGGAGAGTACCTGGGGATGGGTAAGGTGGGCGTGCCCGTGAGCTCAGCAGGCTTCTCCATCATTTCATGACATCTGTGCCCTCACCATGAGCCCAGGGTGGGCAGCAGAAAGGCTCAGCACAGCTGGTGGCCTAGGGTGGGTGCAATGAGGACAGAGCCCAGATGCTCCCCCTCGAGGGGCAGAAGGGACAATGAGCCCAGGCCACAGCCCCTCTGAGCCCCCAAGTCAAGACCAAGGCTCCCAACCCCCACCAGGCACCCCGGCCAGGCCCCACTGGCCAGCAGACACGGCGGAGCACAGACCCTGTGTGGAAGCTGTGAATGCCAGAAGAGCACACGCCCAGGGCAGGCCACATGGTCCTGGACCAGGCCAGAGTAAGAACCTGGACACAGCAGAGGCCAGTAACCAACTCCAAGTGAGGGCCTGGCTGAGCAGAGGAGCACGGCCCTGGGCTCTGGCAGCCAGAGGTACTCACAGACACACGCTGGCGTTGGGAGAAAGCATGTAGACGTTGTTCTCACACAGCGGGTAGATGATGATGGCCTTGCCCCAGTACACCAGGTGAGCCGCGAGCTGGAAAACCTGGAGGCAGAGGGAGCTGACGGCAACCCCCCACCCAGGGGCTTGGCACGGCAAGCACACAAGCCTGTGTATCACCGGTCACTGTGTGGTTTGGGACAGTCACTTCCCACGGGACCCGGTGTTGTCCAGGCTGGCAGTAAGGAAAAGTCCCACGAGCATGGGGACATGTGAGGTGCTCAGGACCATGGGGTCAGCTCAGCTGAACAAGGGCCTTGTCTGAACAAGCTGGCAGAGGCCAGCACCCTGCTCCCACCAGGAGCCCAGCATGGGGATGGGTTTCCACATGGTAATGGACGTGGGTCAAATGAACCTGTCCTACACCTCTTGCACTCATCCCTGTGTGTCCCAGTATCCCGGGACCACATTCCACTGCCCGGCTCTCCTGGACGCTCAGACAAGACGGGCCAGAGACAGACTAAGATGCCAGAAATTCCTTCCAACTTCAAGAGGGGAGCCCAGGTCTGAGGGTACGGCACTGGACACTTCTTTTTTTTTGTTTGTTTTGTTTTGTTTTAGTTTTTTTTAACGTCTATTTAGTTTTGAGACCTAGAGAGAGACACACACGGTAGGGGAGAGGCAGCGAGAAGGGGAGACACAGAATCCAAAGCAGGCTCCAGGCTTTGAGCTGACAGAGCCCGATGTGGGGCTTGAACTCACGAACTGTGAGATCGTGACCCGAGCCAAAGTCGGACGCCTAACCGACCGAGCCACTCAGGCGCCCTGGCACCGGGCATTTCTAATTCTGCATCACCCAGGTGAGCCTGCTGCCCCTCCGTGCCATCACTATGTGTCCCCAAGTGGGCAAGACACCCCGACCCACATGCAAGGCCAGGGACACTGCTGAGTCCACCTCCACCTCATCTCGGCAAACAGGACCTCCAGTGGCACCACCAGTGCCAACGTGGCAGCAACTTCAGTTCCTTCACTGCCGCTCTTCTCTCTCATCCCAAGTCCTACTGAAGCTCACTCCAAAGCAAGGAAACACCCACTTTCCTCCACCTGTCATCACCCTCACCCGTGGCGTCCACCCCCCACCACTCCCTGCAGCCCGAGCACCGTTCTGGGGACCGGAGGTCTGAACTCGGATCCCAGGCTGCAGTGTCTGTCAGCAGGACGACTCTCTCCAGAGTCTCCACCTCCTGTAGCGGCAGCCTTCCTTGGCCTGTGTGTGTGGCCACATCCCTCCAGTCTCTGCCTCCAGAGTCACATCCCCTGCCCACTTCTTACAAGGACAATCCAGGGTCACCGCCCATCTCAAGATCCTTTATCGCCTCTGCAAAGTCCCACGGGAGGTTGCATCCACAGGACCTGAGGGTTAGGTTGCGAAGGTCTGTGGAGCCATTACTAAGCCAATCATAAGGAATGGACGCTGTGATCAAAGATACTGTCCTAATTTATACATACAGAAAATCTGGAGGAATCTACTGTGTTTACCTCTGAAATACAGGATTGCAGGCACTCTCTGTGCCTATAATTTGTGAGACTTATCAATTTGTATATGAAAGAGCATATCGACTTTATCACGACAAAAAAAGCCCCAAATAGGGGAGGTAGGTGGGGTGAAACAGTGAAGGAGATTCAAACTACACTTATCTTGATACGGAACTGCTGACTCCGTATACAGCACGCCTGAAACTGTCGCTGTGTCTTATTTATAAAAACAAAGGGGGCCTGGGGGGGCTCAGTCAGTTAACCATCTGACTCGATTTCAGCTCAGGTCATGATCTCACGGTTCCTGAGATCGAACGCCACGTCTGGCTCTGCGCTGACAAGAGTGGAGCCTGCTCAGGATTCTCTGTCTCCCTCTCTCTCTGCCCCTCCCCCGCTCGCCCTCTCTCAAAATAAATACATTAAATAAAAATAGATTAGATTAAAACAAAGCCCGGGGCGCCCGGATGGCTCAGTCGGTTAAGCGATAGACTTTGGCTCAGGTCAAGATCTCACGGTTTGTGAGGTGACAGCTCGGAGCCTGGGGCATGCTTCCGATTCTGTCTCCTTCCCTCTCTGCCCCTCCCCCACTTGTGCTCTGTCTCTATCAAAAATAAATAAATCTAAAAAAAAAATTTTTTTTTAATAAAAAATACGAAATAAATTAAACAAGGCCCAAAATATTTACTTTGCCTGGGATGGAAAAGGAGTTATTTAAGATTTTATTTTTTCTTCAGTAATCTCTATACCCAACACGGGGCTCAAATTCATGACCCCAAGATCAAGATTCACACGCTCTTCTGACTGAGCCAGCCAGGCGCCTCAGGAACATGAGGTAAGCTGACATCTTCTCTCTAGTGGGGCCATCCACGCTTGAGGGTCCAACTAGGCTCAGCCAGACTCTGCTCCCCTGCTCTCCCAGGGGCCTCCACTGGGCCACCTGACCTGCCACAGGCAGCAGCAGTCCCAGAGGCCAGGGAGGCTGGCCACGCCAGCAGGAAACCCTGATTTGAAGTGAGCTCAGTGGGGAGGGTTACGGAAGGAAATAACAGCCTCCCCATGGCAAGGTGGGGGGGCGGGGTGCGTGAAGGGGTTATCATCAAAGCTTTGTCTTTGCCCAAAGAGACCGAGAAACTTGAAAGCTTTGACAGCTCAGTCTGTATTGATCAGAACACAAGCTCTGCAGTGTGTACAAAACAGCCAGAACATTTAAGGTTCTGTCTTGTGGCTGCTACGAAGGTGACTAGGATGTGGTCCTCACTGGGTCCCATCTAGTCCGTGAGCCCACATGACACACAAAGGCAGAATCGGATAAACTCTCTGGCCAGGTAAATGAAGGTCATGGGGAAGGACTTATTCTGGATGGCAGAATCTGAAACGGCTGCTTTGGGACACAGAGGCCCGAGAGTCAAGCTCCCGCACCTTGCCAAGGACCAGAGGCCAGAGACGTGCCTCCCAGAGGGCCCAGGTAGGCTCGTGTCACACCTGGGATCCTCTTCCTCGGCCCATCTGAAAAAGCAGCTGCTCTGTAGCCAGGTCCTGCTGCCCCCTGGTGGCCACATGGTGCCCACCGTTCTTGCCCTGGGGCTGTCACCTGGAAGGCACCCTGTCCCAGGGCCTCCAACTTCTCTTTATGCTTCTCTTCACTCCCTGGCCCCCACCCAGACTCCAACCAGATCGCAGCCAGGGCTGAGAAGCCCTCTACCCCATCAGAAACTGCAGCCCACAAGCACGTGGCTTGGCAAGAGGATGGCACCTCACACAGAACATAGGCCTGGGTGCACATACAAGGTCGAGGTCAAGGCCACGAAGCTAGGTCCTGGTTCCGCACACAGGCAGGCTCTCAACCCAACTTCCTGCCCTCACCTCCCACACTGGCAAAGTGGAGCTGTGGTACTGGCTGCTCACACGACGACACTCTGCGTGCCCCTGCAAGCCCCTAGCCCTGCCACTCCATCCTTCAGAGCCCAGTAACCCAGCACCTGGAGGGCCTCATGCCTCACAATCCTTGGACACAGGGGTTAGTACAACGTTAGTCCCAAAGCCAGTTCACAAAGCCCGCCCCGAAGCCAGGCCTGACTCGGATTCCAGAACTTGGAGCCGACCCAGGGACTACCCATCCCACCACGGCAGGCCACGTAGTGGACCTGGGTACATGGCACACAGGCAGCCTGCTTTCCTGACACCCTGACCTCCCACCTTCAACCAAGGGCGGCCTGCTTTGACGTGCCCACCCCTCCCTCCCCCATTCCCCCTTATTTGGGGTATCTCCCCAGGCCCCCCGGGGTTACCTGAAGCAAGGCCAGATCTGCATCCTGGGCCAGCTGCTGCAGGTTCTTCACGGCAGACGTGGTCTTGATCACGCGCACCAGGGCCGGGGAGCAGTCGAGCGGGAGCTCGCCCAGCAGGGACTTCTCATCACTGAGAAGCAGCAGGGCGTGGTAGGGGCTGCGGAGTAGAGTCACGGGTCACCAGAGCATGCGAGCCACAGGCCTCCCCGACCAGGCACACGCCTCGAGCACACAGACACTGAACCCCGGAGAAGAGGCCGCTGGAAGGATGAGAGAGGCCCAGGGGCCTTTAAGAAGCCACCAGGATTGCAGTCACCTTCAGAAGAAACTAATTAGAACAAAGCTGAAGAAGGCCCAAGGACCCGACTCCATCCCCACCTCTGGGATTGCCCTGCAAATGTTTGCTGACTGAAAAAATGCGTGACTCTTTTCTAAGGAAAGAGTCCCAAATGCGGGAAAAGCAAAATCCTCACCACAGACTATGAACAGAACCACATTAAAACGTACTCAGCAAGGAAACCCAGGAGGAAGGACGAGGACTTGAAGGCATGGACTAGGCGAGAGAGGGAGGGAGGGCGGGCCAGGGGGTGCCTTGGTTTCTCTCACCCCCAAATTTGCTGTCATGTGCCCACATTTCTTTTTTTAGTTATAAGAGTCTCTAGGGAAACGGGAGACTTGGTGGGACGTGTGTGTGAAAACTGAGCTTAGCTCTTTCCTTGCAGGAAATCAGTTAAGTAACTGAGTTCCCACAAGCTCTGATTCAAATGCAGGAGGTCCGGTGAACAAACACTGTAAATAAAGACAAAATCCCTCCCGTACCCTGGCTTCCCGCCAGGATGTCTGACCCCTACAGCCCTGCCCAGGCCTGAGGTGAAGACCCTTGGCGCAGGACCCCAGGCCGTGCCCGAGGAGGCCCAGGGGAATCCTGGGGTTGGTAATTTCTGGACCAAACCAGACCCCAAAATGTGTGTTTTTACTTCTATCAACAGTAGAGCCTTACCTGCCAGTTTCTGTAGCAGGAAGAGGAAAAGACAGTTCTTGGGAAGAAGTAATTGGTAAAACCTCAGGCAGAAGCTAAAGAGAAGAGCCCCCGAGGGGCGAGGGGCGAGGGGCGAGGGGCGAGGGGCGTGTGCAGGGGCAGGTGCTCACCGGATGGCTTTCAGGCTCCGCTCGATGGCCTCGGGGGGGATGAGGCTCGAAGCAGCGTAGTGGATCTTATGCGGCAGGCAGAAGCCCACCTCCAGCCAGCTGTTGATGTGGAGCCGCACCACGCCGGACGTGCAGAGGCTGCAGAGAGCAGGCGCGGCGACTGTCAGGTGCTACTGAGAATCCACACGGTAACTTGTGACCAGACACACAGATCACACAAAAACCCCTGAGGGTGCTTCCTCCACGCACACTGCCAGTCAGAGGAAACCGCAAGCGAAGCCCTCCGGGGCAAGCAATCATCTTTGCAGATCTCAGTATATTCAAGAGAAGAAAATGCATTAGGAACGCAGAACTGTATCCCTGGGTAGCCCCGGGAACCGGAGTCCAAACAGAGTGCCGGCGCTCTGTGAAGGCCTCCTGTGCAGAGGGGAGAGAGCCAGGCCCCCTGCACACCTGCCGAAGGCCCCACCACACATGAGCAGCCAGGCAGGGCAAGGCCTGTCTCCAAAAAGGAGAGGTAGGCAGGACAGGAAGGGCGGGGGGTGCCGAGTCCCCCCAAGCGTCTTGTTCGGGAGGAGCACACGGCGCCCACCTTGCTGTGGATGCCAGCACCGCCCAGGTGTACCGCGGCAATGGCCCGAGCTGGCCTCGGCCTCACCTCATCAGTGACGGCAATCTGGTTCTTTCAGGGCTGAACACCGCAACCGTGTCCCTGACTCCTCCTTTCTCTCTCTTGTTTTTTTTTTTTTAATTTTTTTTTCAACGTTTATTTATTTTTGGGACAGAGAGAGACACAGCATGAACGGGGGAGGGGCAGAGAGAGAGGGAGACACAGAATCGGAAACAGGCTCCAGGCTCCGAGCCATCAGCCCAGAGCCCGACGCGGGGCTCGAACTCACGGACCGCGAGATCGTGACCTGGCTGAAGTCGGACGCTTAACCGACTGCGCCACCCAGGCGCCCCACTCCTCCTTTCTCTTATATCCCGCCTCAACCATCCCACCTGCAGGGAGGTACAAAGTCCAGACCTTCCCTGCACCAGCCCCCATCTGCCCTCCGCACTCAGCACTCAGACCCCCACGGCTCCCATCCCATCTCGGCAGTCCCAGCCTGAAGCCCCACGTGACCTGCTTACTTTTCTCTGATGCCCTCTCCTACCCGAGGCCATCTGGTCCCCCGCCCTGCAACCGTCCCCACAACTCTGCTGTTCTCTGACTCAAGCGCTCCCTCCAGGTGACCCAGCTCCTTCCCTGTCTCAGGTTTCAACTCAAGCACTACCTTCTCTGGGAGGTGAGCTCTGAACCGGCCCTAGCCCCAGATTCGTGTGTCTTGAGCACCTGACCACAGGATGCAGTTTCCCCGACCAGAATTCAGTCACCAGGTGTGCTCCTGTGCTGCACTAACTGCTCCTCACACGGCTGGCAAAGTGTGGGGTACTTGGGGGGCACTGAGAACCATTTCGTGAATGGAGGAAGAAAAGGGGCCCAAGGAACATGCTACTGACTCTGGGTGGACTATCTCTCAGTGAGTCCCTGCCAGGAGAACACGCTCATGGGGGCCCCACGGCAGGCACGTGGCCCCATACGCCCTGCACCAGAGAACCACACACAGAAGACTTGTTTTCAGCAGGGGTTTCTGAAACTCTCCAGCGAGAAGCCAGGTGGAATGCGCCCACAGCCCAGTGCACAGCCCCGGGGCTAAGTGCCAACAGCACTCGGTGTCTGACACAGAGAGAAAGTGGCTGCTTGGGCAAAGCCCCCATGGCTGGTGCTCACCACGCCCCTGGCAGGTGGACAAGAGAGGGGAGATGTGCCCACTGCCAAGGCCTGTACTGTTCTGACCCAGCTCTTCCCATCACATTCCAACCCCACTCTGCCATTCCCAACTGGCCGGAGGGGCCAAGATGCCCACATCTGGCCCAGTGTGGGGAGGCCGTGGCTCAGGGGGAGCCCTGCCTGGTCTTACGCCTCCCTCGGGGGCACACAAACGCACAGTGCCGGCAGGAGGCGCTATGGCCCTCACTGCCCGCACCCACAGGCTGTCGTTACCATCTCTTCCCCGAAACTCAAGCAGCAGATGAACTACCATGAGCTTCCCCGTGGGTCCACCCAAAGAGCCAGGAGCATTGTGGCCATCAGGTTTCTCAAACAGGGAATGTGCAGCGAGAAAAAAGTGTGAAGAAGGCAGAGCACATCTGTGACCTCCACAACCCCTAGGATTCCTGCCAACACCACTGTCTGCTCACTGCCAACCACCCCAGAGATCCAGAACACCCTCTGCTTGCCCTGCCTGGAGGTGTCAGGAAGACCCACGCCACACTCCCAGGACACCTGCGCCATCGAGTGGTCCCCGGAGGGAGGGTCAGAGCACCCCTGGCAGCAGAGGGGGGGGCCACAGACTGTGGCTGAGTGTGGAAGGTGAAGGCTGGGTCACTGCTGATGCCACACTCCCTCAGGGTGAACCCTGTGAGTGTCAGGATCTAGGGAAGAGACCCAGGGTCCTTCCCCAAGGTCCCAGAGGAGGATACCACTCTTGGGTTCTTCGAGAACAGAGTGTTAGTAAGTAAATATGAGCAGATGGAGACTCCCAGAGCCTCACCAAGTCTTGGGCAAGGGTCTTTGCAGGTGGACAGCTCCCATCAACCTCTGAAAAACAGCCTCTTACAGAATCCAAGTTCACACAATGAGAGAGTGCTCCAGTGGATGAGAGTCTCAGCATCCGTGAACAAAAGGGAAGAGAAGAGTGAGGAAAAGCAGGGCTTGCAGGGAGAATGAACTGACAAAGCTACGTGTGCAGACCCCTCCTCCGTTTCACTATGTACCTGGACAAAAAGGCTGGTGGACTGAAAATAGAGTCTTTTTATTTCTGAGCTGTCCTCTTTAGGATGTGGCTCTAAGTAGCAGTTGGAACACCACAGAATCAGAATTCAACACTGAGATTCCTACCATTTCAAAGGCAGCTGTTTTTGCTCCCCCAGGAGCTTGGCAAGGCCATGTACATGCACACACTGGCGTGGGGTCCTCTTCTCCGGGTGGGAGAGACGCTCCCGTGTTGGTTCCCTGGTTTTCATGTGGATTTTGCTCCACTTTTCCAGGCATCTGTTCACCCACTGGCAACTTCCATCCATGGAGTACTTCGCACTGGGACGCAGTGTGAAGAATCCCTGGAACGAGTCGGGAGGAGGAGCACACCCACCCACCCGGAGCCCCCAGGGAAGCCCCGCAAGTGCCCCTGCAGCAAGACAAGAGGCAGGAGCGGCACTGAAGTCTGCCAAGAGGAGGGAAGAGAAGGTCGGGCTCTGTTTTCAAAGTACCCTTTGTTTTTTTCCTAAAGCCTCCAGGGTAGAGGGAGCCCACCCTCTGAAAATCTCTGAGGCTACAGTTAGTTCATTTATTTATTTCTTGACTTTGAAAGAGTTGACGCACATTGCTGTATCAGGTTCAGGTGCTTGACGGTTCTCTTTATCACTCAGTGTTCACCAGCACAAGAGCAGTCACCACCGTCTGTCACCAAATAACACGATTCCATTATTAACGAGTATATTTCCTATGCTGTATAAAGTACAATTTCAAGACAAGTGTTTAGCATAGCAGGGGTCTGGGTTCCTGCTATGCTCGTACTTGTTTCCAGGGCAGTCACGTGTGGTCCGGAAACACCGCGCAAAAAGCCCCCCCCCCCCCCCCCCAAGCAAGGCTTATCCAGCCCGTCCCACAGCTCTGGGCCAGATAGGGTCGCCTAGCCCCATCTGCCACGCGAGATAGATGCTCTTACCAGAGCCCCGAGTCCTAAAGCGATGACTGTGCATATCCTTTAAGGCACGCTCTTATCTTTCCTATCCCAGGTGGAAATGTACTGTGTACAAGCTTCCTCCATTACCCTCACACCTCACTGCCCGAGGACGAACTTCAGCCAAAACGCCCTTGTTTGGCCTCGCAGGCAACCTTCACCCTGCCAGCCCAGCATCTGCTGGCCACTCTGGTCCCAGACACGGCCAGGCTTCCTAGTCCATGGAGCGGATGCTGCTCGCAATCCAAGAGATGCAAGCAGGCACAAGTGGCCCGCCGTGACCCTTCAAACAGAAGTTTCTACGTATGTGCTTTTTACGGGCAAAGGGAGTAAAACTCCCGGGGCATTAGCAGAGGTGTCTGGGGGCCAATCTCTGCTCTGGAGGGGCAGCAGTGGGAGGCAGCAAAGAACAAACGCAGAGTCCCCAGTGCCACCTGCCTGGCCAGGGCCCGGACAGCTCCTCCAAGCTCTGAGGACTCTTGGCCCCACCACAGGCCCCATTAACTCTGAAAACGGTGCAACAAACACTTCATCAAAGCACGGAATCCACAATCACACGACTCCTGTTTGTTCATTCCTTTGACCACCAGTGGACAAGCCGTGCTTCCCCACGCGCCAACCACAAGGTCTGTGTTACAGAAAGTGAAGGGGTATCCCTGACCTCATGTCATGGGACACACCACCTAACAGTCACACAAAAGAGTGGGACACTGTCACTGAGATCACCAAGCTCCATGGAGAGACACAGGTGCTAGAACAGTCAGGGTAGGCTCCTGAGGGATTCATGCTGCCAGCCTATACTCATGGACACTTGGGTCCCAGGGCACAAGGCCACCAGGCTAGTCGGCCACACCACAACCCTGGATTTTAATTAAAACAGAACCACTCCTTTGAGAAGTTTCACCCCAACCTCTAGCCTCCACATCTCACATCTTCCGGCCTCTCACTTCTGCTTGGAGAAAACCCTCCCTGGGGTTTTCTGGAAACCTGTTGGGAAGTTGACAATAGGAGAAGGTGGCTCTGTGATCTGTTCTACCAGATCAGTCATGTAAACTCAAGTCTCCCTTCTTAGCTCCAAAGTAAGCCTACCCTACAGCAACAGGCCAGGCCATACCTCAAGGCAAAGGGAAGGCCGCAGGCCAGGGGGGCTGCTGGGTAGTCACAGAGCCACTGCTGTTGCCAGGCTGGGACAGGGTGCAGGGGGAGTGCACCACTGTCCCTGGGACTCCCTCCAGACAGGCACTGTTGCCAGCTTACCTGAGGTGGGCCCCAGGACCCACAACCTGAGCAGGGTGGGGTCTGAGAACAGAAAGGGTACATGGGGGTTCACCCTGAGAAAACAAGATCCTGAACACTAACACACCAGGGTGCCTGGGCTAGAGGAAGGAGGGCAACTGCTCAACAGTGGGACCCTGGGAGCCTTTTCTTCCCCAGAACAGATTCCTTTAAAGGGAATCCGGTCCAGAAGGACCTTTAAAGGGTCCTTCTCCTTTAAAGTAATGTCCACCAGGGGGCGCTGTGCCACCTCAAGCTCTGAGTTGCTACAGGCGGGCCAACCACCCAGGACTTCATTCCCTCCAACTTGCGGTTTAAACATCAGAAATTGCAGTCCGTTCTTTCTTTAGACATAGTAAGTGTGGTTCTGGTTTGACGTTTACTTTATCTCCAGGTTAGGCTGAATTTTGCTTGTGGTCTAATGCTAGCTGAGGTGTACAGAGTCCCCCTCAGAAGCAGGCAACACTTCTCACAGAAGGGGTTTCTGGCACCAGCCAACCCAAGGCCAGAGAGCAGCACTTCTCCTACTGCAGAGACAGCTTCAACGTGATCACGAGCGGTGTCATGAGAGAAAGGGACGGGGTGGCTACGACACCAGAGACCCCGGTTCCTAACGCCCAGAGGCCCACACCCAGCGGTCAGCAAAATCAGGACAAAGGAACTGACTGTGTCACAGAGGACAGCTCTGCCTCCTTTATGAGGGCACCCTTCCTCCCAAGAGAGAGATGAGCTGGGATCTGGGCAGAGCTGAGAGAGAAAAGGGAGATGTGTGAACTTGTGAAGATGCAGACAGCTGTGCCAGGACACCATTCTCCACCCACTACGCCGGTACGGTCCAAAAGTTCACCAAGACTCTGTGCCGGCAAAGCCAGAGAGGAGGCATCTCCTGTGTTGCCAGTGGGGGGAGGGTACAGCCTGAGGCACAAGCCCCAACGGGGAAATACACCAAAATTACAAGTGCATTTTACCTCTTCAGCCCGGCCATTCCACTCTCGGGAGTTTACCTCGTAGATACATAGGCACACGTACACAGTGACATGTGCACGGAGCCGACCAGCAGGTCTTATAGCACCAGAGGCTGGTACCAACTAAATGCCCAAGGGAAGGGCTGGCTGGCTATGCAGAAAAAAAAAAAAAAAAAAAAAGAGTCCCTGAGTGCCTCAGTCAGTCGGCAGAGCGTCTGACTATCGATTTCAGCTCAGGTCACGATCCCAGAGTCGTGGGATCGAGCCCCACACCGGGCTCCACGCTGAACATGGAGCCTGCTTGGGATTCTCTCTCCCTCTCCCTCCGCCCCTCCCCGACTCATGCGTACGCTCGCTTGCGCTCGCTCTCTCCCCGTCCGAAATAAAAAAATTAAATTAAAAAAAAGAAAAACGGAAGAGTCCTTATTTGCCAATAGAGAGAGAGTCTAAGCTACGCGGTTCGACCACGAGGGCAAAAGGCAGGCCGCACGTACAGCGTAAAAGGAGAAAGGCAGTCTGCGCCCACCTGTGTGTGCCTCAGGCCCACCTGTGAGGGACGGCACAGGACACACGGCTGTCTGCTTAAGCGCATCCTGCCGCCAGAACGGGAACGGGTGGTGGCAGGAAAGAAACTCAACACTCCGATTCTCAGACTTGATGGGTAGGCGGCCTTTCAAAGGCTTTAGTTCGAACGGCAGAAAGAATGAAAGTTTCCAAAATGCTCTTAACAAGTATCACTGGGTGTGGGGCTACAGACGGGCTTTGTTTTCTCTTGATTTTTCTCTATCTCCTAAGTCTCTACAATGAACACGTATTACTGGTAAGATCGGGAAAATCATTAACATCAAAAAAAAAGGAGAGGATGCTGGACAAGCCACCTTTTCTGCGCTCCAATAACATGCGGTATCGCCGGCCACACTCTTAGATCCAGCACACCTCCAGTGGGTGGCATGGAGCCCACCAGGATGGAACGAAGCGCCAAGAAGGCCAGGAGAGGGCACTGGGCTGCATGCAAGGACACGGCCCAGAGAAGCCCGCAGCCCCATGCCGTCTGTGCAGCGGCATGCCTGGCACTAAGCGGTCCCCTCGGGTGTGAGTGATGGCTCCTCGTGAACCAACAGTCCTGGAGTAGAGGGGGAAGGCAAAGCTTTCGGGGGAACTGTCACTTGGGACACCTGCCCAACCCCCACTCTCCACCTCCCACCTGCACTGCAGACCCAGGGTCAAGGAGTGGTGGACCCTCGTTAAAAAGAGGTTCTTTGCTCGTCCACAAAGAGAGTGCTGGCAACGCCAATATAATTGGAACTGTTAACTTCTGCTGTGTCTGCAAATGTCTGCTGCTCTCCTACACTCAGGCCCCAAGCCCCACGTCCCTCAGAGCCAGGAGGAGCACCCTCTGACCTTCAGTTTCCTCGTGGGTGAGGAGGTGACGGTGACACCGTCTTAGAGGACAGACCCAGAACGTGGCACTGTGTCATGCTGACCCTGCATCTAATGATGCAAAACACTTTCAGGCCCTCCCATGGGACTTCAGGTTCAGTTCTGGGAGGGACTGTCCCAGTAGAAGGGCTCTCTCACCCCCATCTCAGTGGCACCACAGGACAACGGCTCAGGCAACAAGGCCCACAGGGAGATGCACCAAGCATGCCACCCACCTGTCTTACCTGTCATAAGCTTCCTTAAGGTCCCTGGCCAGCTTGCACTTGGGCAGAATGTGATGAAACGGGGACTGAGGACCACCATTTGCTGCAAAAATCGTAACACGGAGAATTTAGAGACTCCAAAGCAAGAAAACTTGCCAAGGTTGGAATGGAAAATACCTTTAAAAACAAATTTAACTGAAAATAAATTGTAAGTCAATTTAAACCAAATATCACACCGTTCCCTACTGCTTTTTATAAAATCTGTGCATCCAGTTGAATGAAGATGAGACTCAGGCTGCTTTGTTTGCAGTCTTTATATGGAACTTTTGTGTTTAAACGTCACCACTGGTGCCCCCTGAGCCTGCAGCACTGGAACAGTCCAGGTCACTGGCAGCCCCCAAAGCGTCCCCTGAGACCACCAGAGCCACCTTCCACTTGGTGAGTGGGTGCTGCCACACCTCATCCTACTCACTCACACTAATGCAATTTTTTAAAGTTTACTTATTTTGGAGGGGCCAGAGAAGGAGAGAGAGAATCCCAACTTGGTTTCAGGCTCCGTGCAGAGCCCGACACGGGGCTCGATCTCACAAATCGTGAGACCATGACCTGAGCTGAAATCAAGAGTCAGACATTTAAATTTTTTTTTTTTTTCCCAACGTTTATTTATTTTGGGGGACAGAGAGAGACAGAGCATGAACGGGCGAGGGGCAGAGAGAGAGGGAGACACAGAATCGGAAAAAGGCTCCAGGCTCTGAGCCATCAGCCCAGAGCCCGACGCGGGGCTCGAACTCACGGAGCGCGAGATTGTGACCTGGCTGAAGTCGGACGCTTAACCGACTGCGCCACCCAGGCGCCCCAAGAGTCAGACATTTAACCAACTGAGCAACCCACGCACCCCTACTGCAACTTATTTTTATGATCAAAAGTCTTTCATTAATCCTTTCTCATAAATGCCTTAAAAATATGTAGTTAAATTGAATTTTTACAAAATTTCCTGTGATATAGAGACGTCTAGGTGGCTGAATTGGTTAAGTGTCCGACTTTGGCTCAGGTCATGATCTCACAGTTTGTGAGTTCGAGCCCCGCGTTGGGCTCTGTGCTGACCGAGCCTGGAGGCTGCTTCGGATTCTGTGTCTCCCTCTCTCTCTGCCCCTCCCCACTCATGCTTTGTCTCTCAAAAATTAATAAACGTTAAAATTTCCTGTGATAAAGTCACAGACCCTAAAGAGAATGTTCTTTTAAAAACAGAACTTCTAGGAGCGTGTGGGAGGCCCAGTCAGTTAAGCATCCAACTGCTGATTCTGGATCACCTCATGATCTCATGGTTTGAGAGTTTGAGCCCTGAGGTGAGCTCCACACTGTTAGTGCAGAGCCTGCTTGGGATTCTCCCTCCTCCTCTCTTGCCCCTTCCCCACTCATGGTTGCTCGCTCGCGCTCTCTCTCTCTCTCTCAAAATAAATAAGTAAACTAAAAAAAAAAAACCCTTCTGGATTGTTATTAACACATAACTGCCAAAACATAATTATACAATTTGATAGCTATCAAATAAAAAAAGCAAATTTTCACTGAAAATGCACGTGAGTTGGACACTTCACGTATGGTGATCGTTACTTTTACTTATTGCTAAAATTAGACTGGGTTCCCCTTCAAATCTATTTCTACTTTCTCTCTTTATACAGGCGCTGACCTGAGATGGACGTGGCATGAGGAACAGGCAGGCCTTTCTCTGTGCTTTGAGGTATTTACAAAACACCAAGATCCACAAAAAGATCTACTGGCAAAAAAAATTTTTTTTCAAATTTTTTGAAGATTTTTCTTTTGAACCCCAATGTGGGGCTCAAAGTCACAACCCCGAGATCAAGGTTCACGTGCTCTACCAACTGAGCCAGCCAGAAGCCCCTGGCAATTATTATTTTTAATTGGTCAGCTGATAACTCAATCAGGTCCTTCATCAATTTAGCTGAAAGCAAAGAACTGGAAACCACCCTCTTTGCCAGCTCGATGATCCCGCTGGCCCCTCTGCGTGTCCTCCCACCACAGGCGAACATGGCCAGCGAGAGCAGGGCTGGGTGGGCAAGGCCCAGTCTGCACGAAGAGCCATCCTGCAGCAGCTGGGGCAAGGGAGGGAGGCACTGGAGGCCGGGAAATCCATTTAAGTGCATCAGGTCAGGAGAGCTGCTTTCCAACTGTGATCCTGGGGGCACCCTCCTGTGCACCCCAGGAAGATCACGTGAACGTCACATAACCTCCTGGTGCCTCGGTTTCCACATCCGCAAACCCGGATCAGGGTCCCTGCCTCAGAAGGCTGCCTGCTCTGTTGTGTGGGGGAGAGACTCTTGTCACACTCACCATCAGCTACCGCGGACACCTCATCCTGCAGCGCCAGGATCAGCTTGGCCTCTCTTGTGAGATACTGGCAGCGGCGCTCCTCGTGCTGCAGCACGGTGGCGATGCGTCGGGAAAGGTTGTGCAGGCAGTTTATCACTGATGGGTCCGCGTTGGCCTGCAAGAGAGGGCACACGTGACTCAAACGTAGCACGCATACTCGTAGCACACGTGCACAGCCGACTCAAACCATTAAGAACTCTGTCCAGGTTCACTGCTGTCCCCGGTTTCCCGTGTCCCCTCTAGGGTCTGTCCCCAGAAACACCAGTGCTCTGAGCACCCTATCCTGGGAATCGATGCCCGGATGGTAACGCAGAGACGGTTCTGTGGGGTCCCCCGGCTGGTGGGGCGGGGGAACGCAAGCATTTCCTATAAGCAGAGAAAGGCTCCCGTGCTACAGGGCCCCACACCAGGGCCATCCAGGATGGCACGGTACGGACCAGGCATCCGCTCCAGGCCGGACAGAGGTAGCCCACTGGGGCAGCGGAAGGCACAGATCCACTACCCACCTGCTGCGGGATTCTCTCGAGTGGGAGTCTCTCGGGTGAGACCTGAGACAATGCCCGACAGCGGTACCTCCCTCTCCAGTTAGTCCGATAGAGCCTACCCAGAGCACAAGCCCTAGCAGCGTGTGGTCACCAGTGTGCTGCTGACTGTTGGTAGACAGGACCAGGCTACGTGATCACACAGGTGACAGGGGGTGTACTAGACAGAAGCACTACACCGACCGTTCACTAAACACGCTGTCTGCAGGAAAAGAGGCTCTTTCCAGCAGAAATAAGCATGGCTCACAGAAGTCGTCGGCAGGATCCAGGCCACCCATTCCCCACAAGCTCCCCTGGCACCCCTGTGCTAACTCTGGAACCTATCAGACACGGCAGCCAGGCCAGGCAGGCACACCCACCCGGGCCAGGGGTGGAGCAGGCAGCTGTAGGGTCTCTGAAGATGCTCCACAGAGCAGATAACTGGCCAACCATGACTCAGTGTTTCAGGAGGCCGAGAGGGCGGCTGAGTCATCTTAGGGGTGGAGGTGGGAGAAGGGACGCGTGGTACTGCTGATTAAAACCTCTGGAACTGCCTCCCCTCCTGTTTATCTGGCAGGCAGGGCCCTGCCCTCAGGGTGTTCACAGCCTGCCTTCTGGACCAAAACCCAACCCAGACTCGTCACCTGGACTTGGAGAGATTTTCGAAACTCCTGGCAGACTTCATGCTCGCAAAGAGAACTCACACCTGGCAGCACACCTGTGCTGGAGAGAGGACTGGACACTGCTTTCAATGCTGGGCAGGAGCCCTGCCCCTTCGTGTCAAGGACAGCCCCTCAACAACGTTCCTCCACCAGATGATGGAACTGGAGGGCCTGGGTTATAAAGTGTGTACACATGCTTTAAAACAACATATACTTTTAGAAAAATCCATGTCAAAATCCTCTTAGCGGCACAAGAGAAGAAGGGGAATGATCCTGCGCACACGGCCGTTCCCTTGAACAGTAATCAACTCACACCCGAGAGCCTGACCCTACGCTCAAGACCCCACTGGCTGGGACAGGACCGTGTTTTAAGTCAGATGTCCAAGCCCACCTGTGCCGTATTCCCAGGCGTGCAAGGGGGTGTGTTCACCCAGGCGAGGCCGGACGACGTACGCTGACAGCGTGTGCTGGGGGGTCCTGTTTGGCTTCACAGGCCGGGTACCACTCCAGGTACCTGCACAGCCCAAGGCTATGTGGCCACAATGGGAAAGCTAGCACCTCGGAACTGCCCGGTCTCGAGTGGGAGCTCTGAGAAATGCCACATATGCCCCACAGGTGATGTGAAACAGCAGGAAATTTAGGGTATCGCCTGTGAGACTTTCTTGCTCCCCAAAACATATACCCAAACGTAATGAGGCCTTCGGAGCAAATGTCCAATTTGCAAGCAATACATGAAATGAAGAGGAAGCAGGATGAGATGAATCCCAACACGGAACATTCAGTGGGACAATGTGAGAGGAGAGTCCTAGGCTGGCAGAGACCTACAGGTTCTCATCCTGGTCCAGGCCAACAACTGGAAAAATATGGCAACTGAAGAAAGTTTCGATAGACTAGGCACCAGGTGACAACAAACGATGGCCAATTTTGTCAGGAGTGAGAGGGTATCATGTTATAAAATAAATGTCCGTACTTTACGGAGATGTTGTCCGAAGTACATAGAAGTGAACAGACACGAAGTCTAGGACTTGAAACACATGAGCAACAGGTGGGGTAGAGAAGCCAGGGTGGCCGTGTGACGGCTGTGGGACAGCAGAGACGGGTGTAAGAGGGTTATCAAACTACTGTCGCTGATCTGGGGTTTGTTTAGAACTTTTCAAAGTAAAAAACAAAAGTATACATTTTTATAAGACTACTAAAAAGGAGGGGAAAAACCTGTCTACCCTAAAATACCAAACCTTTACATTACTGAAATTTCCTCCCATTCTTCGACATCATGGCCGAGGCTACATGAAGCCCTGCACCACCTCGTTTCCTGCTGCTTCTACCGGGCAGCAGTCCTCTGTACTCCTCCAGGCTCTGGCCTCCCCTAGACTCTAACAGCCCAGCATTGCCAGGAAAATAATCGCCACTTTGTCGAACCCTTCCCCAACTACTGGACATCAGAATGAACCTCCGGCCTCATTTTTATTACAAAAGTCTTCACACAACTTTAAAACCGGCTTGTTTTCTTGACTGCTATATCCAAGGGTGTCACACATTCTGCTATCACGGGCTGTTCCCCAGAGAAGAGGGCCCGCCTGCCCATGTGCAGGGCGGGGCCGTGGCTGCTTCTCACCACCCATCTCACAGAGGCTGCCGGTACTGACATGTGCAGAGCATTCGCCAGGATTTTTGGTCTTTGGTTTCTTACTTGAATTCTCTCTCTGGATGTCTGCATTATGTCATTTCGCAAGGCAGACCCTTGTACTACTTACACCGTGAAAATGCCAAAACTATAAAAATGAAAGTCTCCTCTTAGCACCTCACACCTCAGGGACAGCCACTGTTAAGCAATCATTTTGTCTTAACATGCAGGTTTTTTTTTTCTTTTTTTAGTGTTTTATTTTGAAGAGAGAGAGAGAGACAGAAAGAGAGAGACACAGAGAGAGAGAGAGAGAGAGAGAGACAGTGCAAGTGGCGGAGGGGCAGAGAGAGAGGGAGACACAGAATCTGAAGCAGGCTCCAGGCTCTGAGCTGTCAGCACAGAGCCCCATGCAGGGCTCAAACTCACAAGTGGTGAAATCATGACCTGAGCCAAAGTCGGATGCTTTACCAACTGAGCCACCCAGGCGCCCCAGAAGGCCTGTTTTAAAAATTAAGCTCCGGGACGCCTGGGTGGCTCAGCCGGTTAAGTGTCGACTTCGGCTCAGGTCATGATCTCGTGGTTTGTGGGTTCGAGCCCCGCATCGGGTTCTGTGCAGACAGCTCAGAGCCCGGAGCCTAGTTCAGATTCCGTGTCTCCCCTCTCTCTGCCCCTCCCATGCTCATGCTCTGTCTCTGTTTCTCAATAATAAATAAATGTTAACAAAAAAAAATTTTTTTAATTAAGCTCCATTATAAAGGAGCTTTTCTCTGACATTATTTTGGTTTTGAGGCATTCATGCAGTGAATGTGGTACGGGCCACACACACAAAAACTCTCAACATAAAAAAGCACCTTGAGACTTAGAATGATACCCAATTTTACAGGTGCCCTCTCTGCTCAGCCTCATTTCTGCCACTCTGAAGGTTTTCTGTTTTCTTTGTCACTGAGATCCAGTCACTTTGGTCTGGGACACTTCTGTAAAAAGCCATCATGCAGATTACACGGGCCCAGACAGAAAGAACTACTGAATATTTTGGTGAAAACTGATAGTGAGATATTTCAGAGAACTTCCATTATCTAATAGTTACTAAATATAAATAAATTTTCTAGGTAGTTCAAAGTCCTTCATAATATTAGCCAGTTTCTACCCAGGAATGCTTTTTATGCTTATTTGGATCCCTTATATTTTGACAGCTTTATTGAAAAGAAATTTCCTCTGACACAACTTCAGACAGCACTGGCAACTGCCTTAAGAAACTATCAGTTTCAGGGCGCCTGGGGGGCTCAGTCAGTTGAGCATCTGACTTTGGCTCAGGTTACGATCTCACGGTTCACGGGTTCGAGCTCCCACGTCAGGAGCTGTACCCTGGCAGGGGAGGAAACCCAAACACCACAGCCCAGGGACTCAGTTGGGAAGAACTTCTAGGTTCTCCTGTTCAGGTGAAGCTGACCGCTTGGGTGAGCTGACTGGCCATCCCTCCCTCCATCACAGTGAAGCCAAAGAACAGCAGGTTAAGGACGCCCCAGCAGGGCGAGGAGAGGCACTAGTGCGCAAGACCAGCGGTCTCAGGCCTTCCCCTTCCTTCCTCCCCATCCACTCTGCAAAGGGGAAGCAACTACATGGGACAAAGGAAGACGGAAAGGTAGAAAGAAGGGAGCAAGGCAAGAGAGGGAGGAAGCAGACAGAAGCCGTACAGGACGGTTACCTGGGGGCAAGCTCACCTGTATGAGAGGCGAGCTGGGGGCAGCGCACAAGGACTAAAGGAAAGGTCCTGCGTCTTGTGAGGAGATGTCCTCACCACAGGGTCCACCAGCCCCCGCACAAGTGCCAGACGAGGACTCACAAATGGTGAAGGAACTCATCACCAGCCGACCGCCACTGCAGGAGGTACAGTCTTTCGGGCAGAAGGAAATGACAGCAAATGGAAATGTGGATCTGGAAGCGAATGAGCAGCGCGAACAGGGACTGTATGGGTGAACACGCGGTTCTCTTTCTTATTACGTATGTCTCTCAACAGTTAACGCCAGTATCCTGCGGGGTTTACAATACAGGCAAAGTAAAACGCAGGACAAGGCAGCGCAGAGAGCAGAGAGGAGAAACGCGCGAAAACTGTTGTAAGGTTCTTATGTTACATGTGAAGTTATAGATGGACCTCCGAAAAGGTGATCTTGGTAAATTGAAGATGTTTACTAAAACACTAATTAAAGGGGTGGCTCAGTCGGTTAAGCATCCGACTCTGGCTCAGGTCATGATCTCGCAGTCTGTGAGTTCGAGCCCCGCGTCAGGCTCTGTGCTGACAGCTCGAGCC